AACTCAACTAGATTTTTCTTACAACCATTTGGGAGGGCAAATACCAGATGTTTTTGGAAAAATACACAAGCTAACTCATTTGAACTTAGAAGGGAACAATTTTGGTGGTGAAATTCCTACATCAAACTTCAACCTCACCCATCTTACTCTTTTGTCACTATCATCAAATAAGCTATCAGGTCGTGTACCATCTTGGTTGTTTTCTCTGCCTTCTTTATACTATTTAAACCTTTGAAACAACTACCTTACCAGACCTATTGATCATGTTGAGATGCCCAATCTCATTTTAGAACAACTCTATTTGTCCAATAATGAGATAAGTGGTTCAATTCCTAGCTTCTTTTTTGATCTTGTGCATCTTATTAGAGTTGACCTTTCTTCAAATAACTTAACTGGCACCATTACACCCAACATGCTTTCGAAGCTTGTAAACCTTGAGGATCTTGATCTTTCCAATAATAGTTTGCTGTCTTTGAGCAATAATGGCACTGGTGTCAACTATTCCTTTCCGAACCTTTGGTATTTATTATTCTCTTCTTGCAACATAAACAAGTTCCCAAGTTTCTTAAGGAAGGCAAAGAAATTGCAAGAATTGGATATTTCCAAGAATAAGATTTCTAGTCAAATTCACAGATGGGAAATAGAAGGGATGTCATTGCATACATTAGACCTTTCTTATAACTTCTTCACTGGTATAGATTTATTTGGTTTTGGAAATCTTGAAACTGTTGACCTCAAATCCAACTTACTACAAGGGTCACTTCCCATTCTATCAACTTGGGATTCTATGCAACAACTCCTCATTTCAGGGAATAATTTGATTAGCCAAATCCCTTTTGCTTATTGTAATTTTACTTCTCTTAGAGATCTAGTCTTAGCTAATAATAGCTTGGGAGGAAAAATTCCATAATGTCTTGGAAACTTGAGTGATCTCAACACCCTAGATCTACGGATGAATAAGTTCCATGGTAGGATTCCAAATTCATTTGTCAACAATAGTTTCTTGTTAATTCTCAGCCTAAATGGCAACCAGTTGGAAGGGATACTGCCACGGTCTTTAGTTAATTGCAGTTACTTGGAAATTCTAGATGTGGGGAACAACAACTCGAATAATACATTTCCACATTGGTTAGGTGTTCTTCCATCACTAAAAGTTCTCATCCTTCGATCTAATCGATTTCATGGTGCCATCAGCAATTCTATGCCTACATTTTACTTCCCTCAATTGAGAATCATTGATGTCGCACAAAATGATTTTATGGGTCTCTTACCGAGTAACTATTTCAAAATTTTGAAAGGTATGAAAGATCTAGCTCCAGCTGATAAAGTCAATTTGGAATACATTGATGAACATATGCTATGTTTAAGAAATAGAGGTTACCATTATGTTTATTAGGATTCTGTGAACGTAGTAATGAAAGGGTTACTAGTGGAGCTTAAAAGGATCTTGAAAATTTTCACAACTATAGATTTCTCGAGCAATCAATTTCATGGACTGATTCCTGACGAGCTAGGGGAACTCAATTCACTTTTATTGCTAAACTTATCTCACAATAGTCTCAATGGTCAAATCCCGTCATCATTGGGGAAATTAGCAGAACTTGAGTCATTAGATCTTTCATCAAACAAGCTTCAAGGCAGGATTCCAGAGCAATTGACAAAGCTGACGTTCCTATCAGTTTTGAATCTTTCACACAATGAACTTGTGGGCCACATACCTGAAGGGAAGCAGTTCAGTACTTTCTCAAATGATTCCTACATTGGGAACTCTGAGTTGTGTGGATTCCCATTGACAAAGAGATGCGAAGAACCAAGACCACCTTCATCACAATTTGATGAAGAAGATGACTTTGCAGCAGTCTTTGAGTGGAAGTTTGCATTGGTAGGCTATGGGTGTGGACTGGTGTTGGGAATTAGTCTGGGATACATTGCCTTCAACCATGGTGGGTAGTGAAGAAAGTGGAGAAATGTCAACAGAAATTAGTTGGAAGGCGCAAGTGAAGTCATAAGTAGAGAAAAACCCAAAAACCCAACCAACGCTCTTAAGTTAGTAAGTTTCTACAACTCCCTACAATATTTGTGTTCTATATAAGTTCTAACCATAAAAATCAAGGCATGTTATATAATAGTGACACTTAATTTTTCTACTTTTGCTTTATTTTATATAGGTGCAAGCAGGTGTGGTTGATTTCCAACTCCGAGGACATCTGGCAACAGTTGCTTCTTGAGTTTGTTTCCTTCTTTTTCATGTTCATTGTTGATATATAGTTGTGTTGATTTGTGTGGGAATTATGGTTATGTATGTATTTGTGTTGATTTCGTTTGAATTTCATCAATCTGCTCCACAGGCAGTTGCTCATATATTTTTCCTAGTGTAATTAGTTTCTTTTGATGTAATCTCTCTGTATTTTCTGCTCTCTTTTTTTTGGTTGTCTTTGAACAGTGTGTTTTACTGAAGTAAAATGTAAAAATTCTTTAATTTTTGGACCCCCAAACATCTCCTTTCACCATATTTCTCCAATCTGTGTGGAATTGGAGACGCATATGACGAATCTTGGATGATAGCTAAGCGATTTCAGGGAGGATTATCACTTAAGAGGGCTGGGTGAGGGACGATCCCAACCTCCTTTGCTCTCCCAAGGCCCACCCTCTAGCCATTGCCAACTCAAGTCTTATTCTTTGACTGGTAATCTGATCCACAAGCAGGTAATTTTCTTCTGGTGTTTTCCTTTCGTTTTGTTGAGATATTAACTTCTGTCTTGAAGGGGAAAGCTATAATTTTCTGTGTGGATTAAATTAATATGTTTTGCCTTTACCTCTTAAACTGAAAAATTTTAGATATTTTTATGCTGCATATGCCAAGGTTGAGATAAGATGTTTCTATATCTTAAAAACAATATATGTAGGTTAGCATTAACATATGTAAGTTCCAGGTCTCATTTGTGAACTTTTATTTAAATTATGAGATGTATACACTATATTCATGGCTAGGTAGTGTAGGTCATAGCACAAAGTAGAGATCATTCAATTTGGTTTTATTTTGTCTAGATGAATTGGAGTTAAATTTGTAGTTCTTTACGTGAACTCATCAATGGATATTTCTGTTGTCATGGCTGAAGTAATTACTTGTTTTGATGGCTTTGATATTCAGGTACTTATTTTGCAATCAAAGGCTGAAAGTTATTCTTGAATTGAAACATGAAAAATCTCTTTACCTGCTATTGCCATTGATATTGCATTGTCTTATGAATTATTTCTTGTATCTGATGAGAAGCTAAGATAAAGAAAGTTGTGTTTGATGGATATTTTTCCTTTCGTGTCACATTCCTCGTGGGAAGGCAATTCATTTATGAAGAATGTAAACTCTTCCATAAAGAAAATTGTGTAACAACCTGAATTTATTGTAAGTTCCATTTAACAATCTGTTTCATTAAGGTCAAGCACTTGAATTTGTTTAGCAACCTCAATTTATTGATTTAATCACAGTTCTTCTTTGATATTTTTGGTGGATCACTGCAAAAATGTGAAAAACTCACCTTGTCACAGAGTGTTACATTGTCTGCCATAAGCAGTTCACTTGGCTGTATATTGCTGCTCTTAGACACTTGGACACTTTTTGGTGCTACTGCAGAAGGTTTGTTCAGTCCGAATCATTTCAAATATCTTTTAAATATGGAGCTCTCTTAACTAAATAATGAATTTCACTTACTCTTTTAAGGATATAATGACTCAAGTTGCGTGTTCTTAGGGATGCTAATCACCAGAGGTTGTCTGGGAATAGTTCGTCTTTGAACCAACAAATAACGGTTGTTGCCTCGGAAAGACCATAATCTTTAAGATAAGTTTAGATTGGAGAAATAAGTCTATAGATTCAAATCAATTTTCCTTTAAATATAATATGAAAATCTGACACCCACTGGATTTATTGACTAGGAGTCTTAGCATGGAAATGGGACACCACTAGTTTACCCACCGAGTGCTTTTATTAGATTAGTGTTGCTAGTTCTTCTACGTTTAGTTATTGTGTGCTGTTGTAGCAATCATTGACATAATCCTCCTCCATTAGTGGAACTCAAGGTGATTCCTTACATAATTAGCTTGCTGCATGCAGATGGATTCCATAGAAGTGCTCCAAATGGTCTAAAGTTTCAAGTAATTTGATTTCCAAAAGAACATAATTTAATAATACAAAAGTGTTATTTCCCTATTTCATTTTAAGTTATTCTGCTTTCTCTTTTCCAATAAATAATGTAAACTTTCTGAATTTATTTTGGTATTTGAATTTGACTGCTTTCATTGTCAGGCAATTTGTGCGGTCACCATAGGAGATGATGCTGTGATCTTACCTTTCAGGTGAGTAAGTTTGTTGTGTTTTGTGATAACATAATATGCAACTCATTTCATAATAGATCACAGCAAGAATTTATGCTTTTATCTTGCAACTAAGAGTCTAAGACTGAGGACTTTTGAAAGTTGAAAGGATAACTCCTTTATCAAGAATCTAAATTGTTTCATTAAGAAAACAGAAACAATGTCAGAAGATTAAGTTCATTTAGCTGATCTTTGTTTGTGTGTGTACTTCACTAACATCATAATGACATTTT